ACCCCATTATAAAATTAAATACTCCATTATGAGATTAAATACCCCATTATAAAATTAAATACTCCATTATGAGATTAAATACCCTAATATGTATTCAAAAATGAGCTGAAAGAAATCATATCGAACCCAGAAGTTCAATCATTTTCAACAAAGAATCATACTACATGTACTTGGCGATTCATTCCCAAACGTAGTCCCTGGTTTGGTGGGCTATATGACCGCATGGTGGGAATCACTAAAAATGCCCTAAAGAAAGTATTAGGCAAGGCGTGTGTTACGTATCATGAACTTGAAAATATTCTCACAGAAATAGAGTCTTCAATAAATGACAGACCCCTAAAGAAACGTGTCTGCAAGTGTTGATGATCTCACATCATTAACGCCGTCGCACCTCGTCAATGGACGGACAATCACTAGCCTACCACATGCAGTACCCGATGATACAACGAACATTTTGAGTAATAACCGCATGTTAAACTGCCACTATCAACACATAGCTTCGCTCTAATGCACTTTCTGGAAACACTGGTTGTCAGAGTATCTTATCGAAATAACACACCTTTTTCCAGACAAAGACTGTATTGTTCGTGTAGTCGAGCTCAAGACGCGACACGGGATGACTTATCGAGTCATCACAAAACTATATCCGTTAGAATTGAATGCTGGTATCCTGATGCTAGTCGTCAGAGTATGTTATCGCTCTTCGAGAAAGACACCTACTTACCACGAAAGGCTTGACAAAAAACACGGTCAAAGTCTGTGATATCGTGTTAATTCACGATGATATTCGGAAACGAATCAACTGGCAAATGGCCAAAATAACGTGCCTTTTTCCAGGCAAAGACGGTATTGTTCGTGTAGTCGAGCTCAAGACACGACACGGTGACAAATCGAATCATCACAAAACTATATCCGTTAGAATTGAATGCGGGTATCCTGACGAATCGATATTGATTAAATGCAACTAATATAAATTGGTAATTAACTATCATAAAATACAACACACAGTATATGGTCACAATGGGCAGCTCAGGCTTATCATACAAGTGATTGTCCGTTGTCGTCCGGCATCCATGTCAACTTTTTACTTTTTCAACTTTTTCTTGATGACTGTAATTCTTATTGCTTTGATACTTGGTGTATAGGTACCTTTGGCAGACCTCTCTTAGATTTGTTCATTTCGTGATGATATCTTTAATTCTATAATTTGGATTAATATTTTCGTCATTTTTGGTAAACAGTGATATAAGCATAAGGCGCAGACAAATCTCTTCCACAGTCCTTCTTCAGGTGCCCAGAGGCCTGCCTCTTTTTCTTTTCCCAGGTGGTGCCCATCTCAATGCAGCGTGAGGGTGTCTGGTTCTGCTCATTCTTAGCACATGCCCCAGCTATCTCTAGTGTCTCTGCTTCACCTCAGCTGTGATGCTATTGATGCAGGTGCGCCTGTAGACTTTTGGTGACATGCTGTTCCCAGTGGATCTTGAGGATGCGGCGAAGGCAGCGTCCTTCAAAGCCCCTCAGCCTGCTTTCAATCTTCTTGTTGGTTCTTCACATCTCGGAAGCATAGAGAAGGATGGATCGGATGTTGACTTGTAAATCTTCAGCTTGGTCCTGGTCTGGATGGCCTTGGACTTTCTGTAGTCTGTTGAAAGCCTGTGCTGCCAGTCCAACTCTAGTTGAGATTTCTTTCTTAATATAGCTGCCCACGTACTTGAAATCTTTTACCTCTTCAAGGTCGGTACCACAGACACTGGTTTTGGTTGTACTTCTGTTCTTCTTTATCTTGGTCTTGTTTGGGTTGATCTTGAGTCCCACACTCCTTGCTGTTTTGCCCACTTTATTTGTCGTTTCCTTGTCACTGGTGACCTTCCTCATTACCCAGTCAATGATGATACGAAAGAGGGTGGGTGATGTCACACAGCCCCGTCTGACTCCTGATTTACACAGCACTGGTTGTTGGCATACATGTCCTTCAGGATGTTGATGACCGTTGTTGGGAAGCCATATGCCTCGAGGATTTTTCATAATGATGGATCATGGATGCTGTTGAATTCTTTTTTAAAGTCAATGTAGTTGATGTACAGTGATAAGTTCCACTCAAGGGACTGCTCGACTATGGTACGCAGGAGAAAGATCTGGTCAATACATCCCCTTCCAGCTCTGAAGCATGCCTGC